GAAAATATCCATTAGCTTGGCAAACGCGTAATATATAATAATATAATATTATATGTTAGAATTAATTTTGGAGATAAATTGAGTTATAATAGAAATTACTTTGACTTTGCTAATGGTCATAATGCTTATTTGTTATTCCATCCGTTCTATTTATATAGAGAAAGTCAAAAATTAATTTTGGAGATAAATTGAGTTATAATAGAAATTACTTTGACTTTGCTAATGGTCATAATGCTTATTTGTTATTCCATCCGTTCTATTTATATAGAGAAAGTCAAAATTTCTTTAGGATTAAAGAGGTGGTTCGTTTTTAGATTTCTTCCTAATTTATCCCTGAAAATATATTAAAGTGATCCCTAATTTTCAATAAAAGGTGATAAATGATGAGAGAGAGGATTTGTTGCTTAAATAAGTGTTTTATTTGTTTAGACTTTCAATAACAAAAAAACGTGGGCTATTTAATTGCAATTATGCACTAAAGTTTCAATATCAAATTTGGATTGAAAAATTAGCGTAAAAGTTGAAAGAAAGTTTGGAGCCAAAATTTTCAACCTCAATTTATTTTGCTTCTCCAAATTACGAGTAAAAAAATGAAATTTAGAATCAAAACTTTCAAAGCTAAATTCGTTTAAATAGGGATGAATTCACAACTCTAAAATTTAATCCACAAACCCCATGGACACAGCCATTCCTTTTGATTTGAATACAAAAAATGTGCCCAGACTTAACAATCAATCTTATACTTGATCTCCTTGCCATCCACTGAATAATTGACTTTTGTAGAGTTTAAAACCACAGCACCACCAAGTAATGCTCCAGAAGAGGCTCGAAAAGGCAACAAAAGGAAAAACATCATTGAAGATGTGAAAAATACAGTTTGTATGTTACTATATTCTGAAACTGAAAAGCGTGAGTCAAGTGCCCGCAGTATTTATAAAGTTGCAAACAGTTTATCCATATCCACTAAAACAACTTATAGAATTTGGCATAATGCAAAAAATGAGCACAACTATTTTTATTTAGATGAAATTAGGGTTTAGGTTCTGTATCTCTCTCTTTAGCCATTTAAGGAGTTCATTAGAGTAAATATAGATGCGCACAACTATTTTTATTTAAGCACTATCATTTGAAGGCAAATTTTCCTCCGTTCAAGATTTAGTAGAGTTGTGAGTAAATTTCACTATATGTGCACACTTAAATGTTTAGCATAAACTTCTTAGTAAAATTTAATCTATGCCTATAATGTGCTTGAATTTCAGATTTTCTTAATATACGGTTCAGTCAATTTTTGAATGTTAAATGCCAAGCACTTTCTTAAATACTCCCAAAGTCAATGTTTAATCTATAAACCAAAGCAAGGGTATATTGGGCTTTTTGCTTTGGCATTAATCCCAAAGTTACCATATTAGGAAAATTTATCTATATAAATAGAATTGCCTAAAAAGGAAATTTTCTCTATGTAAATAGAACGGATGGAGTCTTAATGTTATCCATTATTGTCATCTCATGATAAAAGAATAATTATATTAGTTATCTTTGTTAGATAATTGGTTTGTAAAAGGAATAATAAATTAATGTTATAATTTCTTTTTAAATGTCCAAATTAATATTCTTTTATCAAATGAAATACGGATAAAATTAATAACATGTACACATATGATAGGTAATATTTTTATAGTATTTTTAATATAGTTTTTATTAGGATTTTTAGTTTTTTTTATTACTTTAATTAATTTTTATTTAGTTTTATTTCTGTTTTTGTTCAAAGTATTTCTGTTTTGGTTCAAAGCTTCCTTGAATAATTCACTTTATAATCTTAAGGAAATTTGTAGGGTTTTGACACTACTGAAAAGACAAAATAAAGCAAAACATCTTAGGCTCTAACAGCCCCTGGCTCGTGCACGATCAGCTACTGCCAAAAGCCTGGATTCAATGGAAAATTCAGAGATTCAAGGAAAATCAAGTGGAGACTCAGACTCTAGCACGCCCAAGTCGTGCTATATGGCACGCCCGTGCCAAAAGAGGACATCAACACGAAGGCGTGTTTGCTTAAGCATGGCCCGTGCTTCATCTCATCCTAGAGACTCAAAGCCTAGCAAGCCCTAGCCGTGTTATGTGGCATGCCCGTGTAACAAATCCTTATCTAGGCATGCCCATGAGCACAGCCCGTGCTGAATCTTCCTTAGAACTTAGGTTTTGGCACGTCCTGATTGTGCCGCACAACACACCCGTGCTGTGAATCATGCGCTGTCTTGAGTCAAGAATGCCAACCAGTCCCTATCACTTACATGGGCCCACCTGAGATATTTTCCTAACTTGCCAATCAAGTTCTAATCCTATTTAGGTGCATGGAAGAGTCCTAACTAAGAAGAAATTCAAAGCCTAAACAGTTTCCTACTTCCAAAAAGATTTCTTACTTAATGAGGACTCTATTTCCTAAACGGAGTCTTAATGATGGTTCTATTTCCTAAACGAAGTCGGATTTTCTCCTAGGAAGTCTATATAAAGAGATGAGTCATTCATTGTAGAGATATATCCAGTTTTAATAATTTTTGTTCTATTATTCTTCTCTCTCTCCAAAGACTTCAAGTGTTCAAGATTTGTGCCAAGATTCAAGGAAGCCGTCCAGAATTAATTATTGACTAGTTTTTATCTCTAAACTCTTAATATCTTGTTTATTCTTTATTATTCTGATTGATTATGGAATTTTTATTCAAGTATTATTGAGTTTTATTTAATAATTACTATGTCGAAACTAAACTCTCAAAACTAGGATTTCATGTAGCTTAATTTCTTTTCAATTATAATATTAGATTTGTTTTCTTTGTTCAAATTATAATATTTATTATTGAACTTAATGCTTCAACGGCAGAGTTTCTCCCATGGCGATTGATTTTTTTCATTAATCCCATTAATCACTATTGGGAGAAGGGTTTTTGATATGAAAAAGGTAATAAATTACATGAAAATAATAACTTGATGCGGAAGCTATATGGTTTGACTTGACAGTGCTTTCGCAAGTGTATGAAATCGCCACAAGTAATACATGATAAATAGAGTATCGTTTCCACGAGGATTGTATACCAAGTACCAAAATTGTGTTATCCTATTATTATTTAAACGACAAATGAGGCAATTGATTCAAGAACTTAAATTCAATAAGTAAAAATAAATAGAGGTTAAATAAGCAAAACTTGATTAAAGAAATCAAGGATAAAAAAAAACTACTAGGGATTTTGATTTCACTTAAGTCTATCCAATTTATTTTATTAGTCCGTTAATCAATTTTAATTGTTTAAGTAGGGGAAACAACTCTAGAATCACTAACAAGCTCTCCCAATGTATTGTTAGCTATTTTAATTTTGTTTAACTATGTATCTTCCAATAGCACAATCAAACATGAATTAAATCATTAGGTTTTGTAGTTTGTTTATGAATCCATAAATTAAGGTTGTTAATTCATGAAAACCCCCATTCATGAAAAACCCCCCATGAGGTAAACCGTTTTTATAGCTTTCCGCATCAAAGTTGTTATTCTCATGTGATTCATTAACTTTTTCATTATTTAAAAATACGTTCTTCTGATAGTGATTTAATAAATAAAAACCAATCCAGGGATATGGCCTCTGCCCTGGAAGCATTAAGTTTATTTTAATGAATCATAAACTTAAACAAAGAAAAACAAATCTAATATTATTAAATTGGAAAAGGAAGTAAGCTACATTTCAAATCCCTAGTATGAGAATTTAGTTAGACATAGTGCTTTAAATAAAAACTCAGTAAATGCTTGATTAAAATAAATTCCCATAATCAAATAAGAATTAATGAACAGGGGGGGAAAACAAAACAAAGAGATTAAAAGAGTTTAAAAAGGGAAAAATAAAAAAACTAAGCTGACAATAAAACCTCTGAAATGGCCTTTCCCCTGGGATCCTTGGCCACCAAAAACTTCTTTTGGAAAAATATTTTGAAAACTTCTAAAGGAAATTAAAAAACTATAAATTAACAAGGGCATAATTTTCAAGGGGAATACGATCACTTCTAATGTGAAACAACGTGCGGAATCTGGGTAGATTATGAATAATCAGAGGGCGATCGGCGAATGGAAGGATCTAAGTAATCGGGGGGCGATTGTTAATGCATCTTGCTGGGAGTGAAACGCTGTCACACCCCGACTCTAATCCACAGAGGAAATGTCCACTTTGTGTGAGTCCACGACGGCCTACCCACCGTAGTGTAGTGCCCCGCACGACCTACACCCTCATGGGTTTTGAGTCGCTGCAAGGTGAAATGAGAAACTTCCCAGAGCGTCAATTCCCATCCTGAGATTTTCTATTAAGCCGACATTGCTTAACCCTGGAGTTCTTCCAGAACTCTCCAGCCATTTTCACAAAAGGCACCTCTAATGATTAGTGTTCCCCGCTTTTCGATAATAGTGCATTTGGTTCATTCCTGTGTCCTGCATTCCACTACCCTAGCTAAGCTTGCCATTCCGTAGAAAGCTAGCCAGGGAGCTTCGCGTCTACCCGGCCCTCTTAGGATCGCTTTGCCGGGTCGGGATGTTATAGGCCCACCAGCTTCCGCGTGTTCGTCCGTCGCAAACGCATACATCTACTGGGAGGCGGTCTGGCTCTGCATTACCAACGTCACGCCCTGACTGGCTAATCACCAGAGGAATTGCCCATTGTGGTGTAGTCTCGGATGCCCTACACCACAGTGTATTCCTCGCACGCCCTACACCTCACGGTTGTGTCCCGTAGGTAAAGTGGGAAACTTCCCAGGAGGTCATCATCTTGAGATTTCTTATTGAAGCAAGCACGCTTAACCCTGGAGTTCTTCGCAACTCTGCTAGCTATATCCACCCAAAATGCGCCTCGTAATGATTAGTTTTGCCCCTTTCAGATATTTATGATTCGATTCATTGCCGTGTGTCCCGATGTCCATTACGCCCTAGCTAGCTTGCCAATCCGTTAGAAGCTAGCCGAGGAGCGTCGCTCTACCCGTCCTCTTAGGTCGCTGTCCCCAGGGTCGGGAGTCACAGGACCTTGTGGACATCCCGACGCCGGCAAAGCGATGCCTAGGATGGGTAGGCTAGCTAGGGTGAGTCGGAATGCAGGGACACATGAGATGGAAACTCGAATCATATATCGAAAGGGGGAAACTAATCATTAGAGGCGGCCTTTGGCGCATGTAAGGCTGGAGAGTTGGAAGAACTCCAGGGTTAAGCGTGGCTCGCTTAATAGAAATCTCAGTGATGGTGACCTCCTAGGCAAGTTTCCCATTTTCCACGCTGCGGGAACAAAACTGTGAGGTGTTAGGGCGTGCGGACTACACTGCAGTGTTAGGGCGTCCGTGGACAGTACACCCAAAGCGGGGAAACAATTCCTCTCTTGTGATTAGAGTCGAGGCGCTGACAGTTGAGGTGATTAGAGCCGCGACCACCCTCCAGTAGATTGGTATGGTTGAGGGTATGAACCGACGCGGAAGCTGGTGGGCCTGGTGACACCCGACCCGGCAAAGCGCATCCTTAGGATGGCAGGCTAGCTAGACGGTAGTGGAATGCGGGAACATGAATGAATCGAAATCATATATCGAAAAGGGGGAAACTTAATTCAGTTAGAGCGCGCCTGTATTGTTTTATAAGATGGCTGGAAGTTGGGAAGAACATTCGCAGGGTTAAGTGTTGCTCGGCTTAACAGAAAGCTCAGGGCATGGGTGACCTGCCTGGAAGTTTGCCCATTCTTAACAGAAATCTCAGGATGGGTGACCTCCTGGGAAGTTTCCCATTTCACCTGCGGGACAAAACCGTGAGGTGTAGGGCATGCGGGGACTACACTACGGTGTAGGGAGTCCGTGGACTAAACCAAAGCAGACAATTCCTCTGGTGATTAGAGTCGGGGCATGACATGAACTTCTTCTTCTCTTTTTATAGACATCTAGGGAGAGGAATCCACATGGTTTAATGATCAAAGTCTACCTTTGTTAGGTGGTAAAGTTCTCTTTTGGGTCTTAAATTTCTTTAATCATGACTCACCCATGTGCATAGATTAGATCTTTATTTGCATGTGAAGAAAGTTGTCCAAGATTAGCTCCTGAAATTGGTAGGAATTAGTTGGCAATATTTGACTCAATTTAAGCTCTTGATCTTTGGCACGGGTGTGCTAGGAAACATGGCTTGGGCGTGTCAGGCTCTGGAAGTGTGGAGGACTCAGCACGGGTCGTGCTGTCTAGCACGCTTGAAGAGGGTCTTGTGGCACGGCCGTGCGCCCTAGCACGGTCAGGGCGTGCTAGGCTCTGGAAATCTTAGTGCATTTGTAGCACAGGCGTGCTTCAGCGGGCACGCCCCAGGATTGCATCTTCATTGTGGCACGGGCGTGCGCCCTAGCACAGTCAGGGCGTGCTAGGCTCTCGAAGTCCAGGGCATATGCAGCATGGGCGTGTGTCTTGGCACGGGCTGGGTGTGCCAGAGTCTAACTCTCCGCTTAATTTTCCTTTTGGTTCTTAGCACGGGCGTGCTAAAATAATTTGCTTCATTTTGTCTTTTCTTGTGCAAAAACCCTACAAATTGTCTCAAGATCAAGTGAGTTGTGTTTCAAGGAAGCTTTTATGTCAAGGAAGCTTGTTAAATAAAAACATAACAAAAATTCAATAAAAAGCTTAATTATAAATAAATAAAAAATACCTAAAAATGCTTAATGAAAATTACATTAAAGAATACTATAAAAATGAAACACCTATCAGTGGACTCATGGGGTTTTCATAAGTTAATGACTTAGGGTTATGAATTCACAAACAAACCATAAAACTAATGATTTAATCATGTCGTTGAGTTGTGCCTATTGGAAGTTAGGTAATTAGACCGGGTTAAAATAGCTAACAATGCTAGTATTGGCGAGCAGCTTGTTAGTGATTTTTAGGGTTGTTTTCCCCTACGTTTGAACAATTAAAATTGATTAATGAACAAACACTAAATAAAATTTAAATTGGAAGAATTATTGATGAAGATCGAAAATCCCTAAGTAGCTTTTGTAATAGCACTTGATTCTGTGCTTAATCAAAAGATTGCCTTGTTTTCTTTTCTATATTCTCTTTTGATTTACTGAAGTTAGTTTCTTAAAATAATTTCCCTAAATCGCCGTGTTAAATAGATATAGGTTAACAGTAATTTTGGTAACTTGTCGCTATACTAAATCCCTGTGGATACGATGACTCTTCTCATTTCGTAATTTACTTGGTTGCGCATTTCGTACACTTGCGAAAAATCACTGTTCAAGTTTTTGGCGCCATTGTCGGCGGATTGGCGTTTACCAATATCCACAATACCAATTACCCTATATTAATTTAGACATTTTAATTTAGACATTTGTTTTTGTTTATTGTTTATTTAATTTAATTTTTCTAAGAAGATTTTTCAGGTGTTTATGCAAAGAAGATCAGGTAGGACTGAACCTTTGATCTTTGATCCAGAAATCAAAAAGGCTTGTCGTACGAACAACGCTGCTAGAAGAGCACATGAGAACAAACCAGAACAGCAAGCAAACAGGGATGATGAAGTTAACGCTCAGAACGGACCTGAACCTCATGTCCGCACCTTGCAGGATTACACAATACCTTCTCTCACTGGAATAACCTCTATTATCACTAGACCTAGGGTGGAAGCTAACAATTTTGAAATTAAACCTGCGATTATCCAAATGCTTTCCACCTCAATTCAATATGGAGGTTTACCTCTAGTTGAAATTCCTATGCCCATATCACAAACCATATCACAAATTTCTTAGAGATTTGTGACACTTTCAAACAAAATGGAGTTTCTGAGGATGCCATAAAATTAAGACTCTTTCCTTTCACTCTTAGGGACAAAGCACGATTCTGGTTACAATCATGCCCTGCTGGAAGTTTTACAACATGGGAAGAATTAGCCTAAAAATTTTTAGCAAAATTCTTTCAATCTTCAGAAACCACAAAACTGCGGAACAAGATAATGACCTTTGTCCACCATGATCAAGAGAGTTTTTACGATGCTTGGGCAAGATTCAAGGACTTATTAAGAAAGTGCCCACATCATAACTTGCCTAAGTGATTACAGGTACAAACTTTTTATAATGCATTATATCCTAACATTAAAATTACTCTAGATGCAGCTGCAGGTGGATCTTTTGAAAGAAAAGAAATTGATGAGGCATATGACTTGATAGAGGAGATGGCAAATTGATAGAGGGAAGATGGCAAGGCAATAGAGCCATTATCAAAGCAGACCTTGAAAGGAAGCAAACTGTAGGAGTTTTATGTAGATTGATGCCATCACCATACTTAATGCCCAAGCGTTAGACAATATGGTAAGGAAGATTAGACCTAATTGACTACTAACTCGGTGAATTATCCTATTGTGCAAGCTGTGAACAGGTGTAAGTAATGGACATGCAAGTGATTGAGAATGGCATGTTAGATTCTTTAATCCATAAGACTTTAAGGAGCAAGTAAAACTGATGTGATGAAATCAAGGAAGGAGAATTATACCGTAACTGCTAACTTCTTATGATAACAGGTTGAGGGAACCCACCCTAATCCTTTCAAAATAAGGGTAATCCAAAGCAAGCGCTTGAAACGCAACACCAAAGACGTTTTCTAACCACAAGAGAAGAAGAGTGCTCATGATGATGATCACTTACTGGCGGCTCTCTAAAAGTCACACATGGACTTCATGAACACGAAACCAGTGAGAAAATAATAAAATCCAACAAGTGCGTATATTGTCTTCGATGAAGCAGGTAAGCTGGGATTGCTAGCATGGCTTATGGGCATAAGACTATGCCTGAGCCTCAACACACGAGTTTACAGAGTGGACGAGATATGGTCCAGGGTCTAGGCCGAATCCTACTTCAGGTAAGCATTCTCAAATAAACTTGTTTTAAATTTGGATTCTTTGTTAAAGGGAATGCTTTCTGAAAAAATAGCTTAATTTCTGGGTCGCATGATGAATAGCCATGTTTTAGGAATTTGAATAGACAAGAAAAAAAAAAAAAAATAAAAAAAAAAAAAGAAAAAGGGGGCAAAATCTAGCCTCTAATTGCATGCTTTTCAAAGAAAGGCTTGAGGTTTGTTAGGGCCTAAGCTGATCTGGATTAGGATAGAAGGGGTTTTGCATGTGAATGCCTATTTCACCAATTTGAATTCATAGAGAGAGAGCGAAAGTATTGGATAGTGACTTGGTTTCGAAAGAGGCTTCTAGTGTCCTGGTCAGATCATGTGAAGTATAAGGAGTGTTTGCATTTGGATGCCTGTGTTCATCTTTCTGTGTCACAGTAGCATGTCCTAGTCTTGCCAGGAACTGATTGAGAGAATCATCTTGACGAATGGTAAAGCCACCATGGTGTCGTGTCGTATGAGCATCAACAGTACCAATCTAGCGACGGTCGTGGTGAGAATCAGAGTCAGAGAATGAGGACGGCTATAAGTGGCTTACTAGCGCTGAGGTGGGACCAGATATTATGGAGATGTGATTGGTAATGAGTGTCAGGAGTTTTTCGCTAGTTATCAGAGATGGCTGGGTACTTAGACACTGCTTGCAAGGGACACATCACATTTATCCTGGTTCACAAGGCAATGAGAACATGAATTTGGGGCATATTTGAGTACAGGGGTGGCGCCAGTTGGGATCTCTTTCCTTAGAACATTACTCGGTTTTCAACCCCGGGGTTACTAATAGTGGGCGTATAACTTGGTCAGTTGGTCGAGAGGGCGCTTCATGTGATGAGGTAGGAACATTCTATGGGGGGCAGTGTACTCTACTTATGAGTGCTTGGGTGGATGACTGGACGGTATGGTGATCGAAGAGAGAAGAGTGTAGAGCAGAGCTGTTGACTTTGGGAGATGGACGCTAGAACTCTGGGCGATGACTCGAGACAACCCTAGATACTACTCGATGCTGTTGACCAGAGGATTTTGACGACTCTAGGGAAGATGAACTCTAAGGCGGCGCAGACGGTTTTTGCCTAGTCTCCTCGGTGCACTGACGACCTTATCTTGAAGGGTAGGAATTTTTGTTTTTGTGTTAATTTTTGACTTGGCCTTATATTTTTTGTGGGGGGCCTTTGAGATACGGACACTGACCCATTGATGTATAGAAGGGTTTAGTTGACAC